TCTTGAAGCCGGAGCAATTTTATCTTCGAGCAATAAAATCAACATTGACTGTTGATTTAACTTTTCTTAAGCAAGTCCATTTAAGTATGTCTTGAGACCCTCTTGTTCATGATATCAAGAATAATTCTTCTAAATCTCATGATCCCTCTAAATTTGAATTCAAGAACAACCTACTCTATTTCGAAGGACGCCTATATGTTCCAGAAGGAGAAGCACATTTACGTGTTCTTCAAGCTCGTCACGACTTCCCAGCAGTAGGACATTTTGGATATAATAAGACTTTGGAACTGATATCTAGGGATTTTTGGTGGCCTCAAATGTGGAAGGCAGTTAAAGACTTTGTACAATCATGTGATGTTTGCTCAAGATCGAAAACTCCTCGTCATCGACCTTTTGGACTTCTTCAGCCATTAACCATTCCAAAACAACCATGGTCTTCTGTTTCTATGGACTTCATCACGGATCTTCCAATCTCAGGTTCTTATGACTCTATATTCGTGATAGTAGATCGTTTTACCAAGATGGCACATTTTGTACCATGTACAAAATCTATCACAAGTGAAGAAACAGCTAAACTCTTTCTTGACAATATCTATCGCTATCATGGATTATCCAAGGATATTATATCAGATAGGGGAACTCAATTTGTATCAAGATTTTGGCGGACTCTTTTCAAGATTCTAAAAGTGGATATAAAACTATCTTCGGCATTCCATCCTCAAACTGATGGACAAACAGAGCGTGTTAATCAAGTTTTGAAGCAATATTTAAGATGTACCATTAATTACCAACAAGATGATTGGACAACTCTTTTGCCATTGGCAGAGTTTGCTTACAATAACACGGTACATTCTTCTACAAAATAAACACCTTTTTTTGCTAATTATGGTTATCATCCACGACTTGATACTTTTGACTTTTCAAAAGTTGATAATCTTGTTGCAAAAGATTTAGCAATTCATTTATCAGAGCTACATGCAACGATGAAGGCGCAGTTAAAAGAGGCTCAAGAACAATAAAAGGTCAATGCAAATGTCTATCGAAAGGAACAACCATCATTTGTCTTTGGTGATAAGGTATGGCTACTTCGTCGTAATATCAAGACCACTCGTCCTTGTGACAAGTTGGACTATCGAAGGCTAGGATCATTTTCTATTTCTGCACAAATTAATCCAGTTGCATATCGTTTACATCTATCAGAGTCAATGAAAATCCATCTAATATTCCACGTATCTCTTCTTGAACCATACAAGATACTGGACATACCAAGAAGATGACAAGCTCCACCTCCTCCTATAGAAGTGGACAATAATGAAGAGTTTAAAGTAGAAGAAGTCTTAGATTCAAGGCGGCGCCAAAATAAATTAGAATAACTTATCCATTGGCGCAAATATGGTATTAGTGAATGCACATGGGAGCCAATAAAGAATCTTGCAAATGCAGCAAAGGCGGTGGAGGCTTTTCATCGACGACATCCATGAAAATCAAGTTAAAAACCTTCTTTATAAAATAAACAACATCTAGGCAAGATAACATTTTACTTTCAATTCTTGTTCGTAGCTTCTTTGTAGTAGTGACGCTCAGGAGATGGAGAACCAACAACCAGCGGATTCGACTCAAGAGCCTTCATTTGTTGACCTGTCGGATGAGACATTACGATGGTCACAACCTTCAAGATGACGCAATCAAGATGAAGATCTTCAAGAACGACATGTTCTTCTTCGAATAGATGGCGAGATACAACGCATTTGGTATCACGATTTGGGAAGGGACTCCCGATGTTTGATGATTGTGCTAGAGGTAGGAACAACTCCTAATGGTGTTCCAAATATTCTATTCGAAGGAAGTTACGAAGGCCTCAACAATGATCAAATAATTGGGTGGTCTTCCTGTCCTGGTATGGGACACTACCGATGGTTGAGAGGCCCTATCAATCATCTTCGAAGAGAACAAAGATCAGAGTATGTGGCGAATATAATTTGTCGCATCATAGATTTCTTCAATATATGATGACTGCTCCTCGTGGAACTCGTCCCTAGAAGGGAGGGTAATGTCACAGACATACTCATGTAAGCTAGTAATTACATATACAAATGGGTAGAAGTAAGTAAAAATAGGTAAAAGTAAGTTAATTCTATAATATTTAATATGAAAGCTTCTTAGAAGCTTTATAGACCCTGCTTTGATTTCATAAGTGTCTTTAATTGACTTTTTGGATTAGAAACATTGTCAATAAGTTGGCCATGTGCCACACATGTTGTTAGCTTGAAGATCAAGCTAACTATGTGGCCCACACGTAGAAAAACTTGCCTTGTAAGTCAAGGCATGTGTTCTACAAAGTCAATACATATTGGAGGTCCTATAGAACGTCGCCACGTAGCCCCTAGTTAGATAGTATATATAGAGACAAGAGTGAAGGCTTCTTCACTCTTGTCAACTCTTTTCTTGCTTCCAGTCTAGTTTCAAGGGTCTCTAGTTTCTTTGTCTTTTGGCAATAGCCATTCCAGTTTTTCTTTCAATATACATACTTGTTTATTTATATTTTGTTACCTTTCTTTGAGTGAAGGCTCACTTGTCTGAATTGTTTTTTCATCTAGTTCTTGTCCTTGACACTAACTTATAAGACATAGGTTTTATTTGTAGTGCAATTTTTGGATATGTGTGCCATATGGCTAATTTGTAAAAGAAAAAAAAATCAATCAAAATTTTAAATTTTTATTTTTATTTTGATTGAATCATTTTTAAAAAAATGTAAAGTATATAAGTGGATATGTCAATATGTTTACTCTAACACAAAGAAGAAAATAAATAAAATAAATTAAATTAAATGTCATTTTATTTTATATTTTATATTGTTTATACAAAAAATATAATTATGTATGAATTTAAGAAATCTATAGACATACATTATTTATAAGATTAGTGTATATCAATTTTTTAAAACTTAGCTTAATAAGTCCAAAATATTAAAAAATTTACAAAACTTACTTGTGGCAAAAACATTATTTTTATAATAAAATTGTATGTAAATTTAAAAGATTTAAATTGATATTGTTTTTTTTAAGAGACCATGCTTGTAGATTTTATAGAACTAAAGAAATGATTTGTATTTAATAAAATTATATATATATATATATATACATATATATATATATATACATATATATATATATATATATATAGATAATTATTTAATTGAATAGAACATAATTGTCTATATTGGAAAATTATTAGTAATAAAATTAGGTAATTAAATTAAATAAAACCATTATATGTATATATATATATATATATATTTTATTTTATTTTTTTGAAAACGAGACATATCTAGATGGCCAAAAGCATCTTGGAAGTCAAAACAAATGTAAAAATATGATGAAACAAAAAATTTACACAGTGTGATCTAATAAATTGCAATGAACAATATTAATAGATTAGTTTTATATTAATTTGGTTATGTAGAATATATTCTAAAATCATGAGTTTGCCATGTACCCAATGTGTTAAGGGCGAAGATATCGTGTTATTACCACCAATTTAAATGTGCATTGAAAAAATCCTAATCTATGTTCTAATAAGAAGAAAGAAAAAAACAAATCAAAACAAAACATTCCGTTGTTCATTTAAACACTGCTAGAGACTTCAGGGCAATAATATCGCTTGGTCACAATATTCCCCAATTCTTCCTGCTGAAACCACAAACAGAGCATAGAGCACCAGGACCATGCAGATGCTTCCACACACACAGGGGCTCCCCATACACAGAGCATCATCAGAAACACGCGTCAGAAGCTACGAAACACTCCATCAGAATTTCAGAAATCTGAAATCAAGGTTAGGTTTTTGCGTAAAATTACACCTAAATGAACACGTCACTTGATCCTATTTAAAATCACCCACACGACCTGCTTCAAGGATATTTGTCGGATGCCAAATCGTGCCTCCGAAGAAAGCTTGAGCGGCGCCTAAATGGGACCACAAATCCAGGAAGAGGCATTCAGGCAATGAGGCAATAAGGCAATAGGCATCATACCTGTTCACGATCGATCGTCCATGACATTTATCAATGACTTGAATTATGCTGAAGCCAATGATTTGCCTCGAGGGGCGAGTTTGTAGGCGACCTTGAGCAATGGGAACTCCCGATCGAGTTGATGGAATGCAAATTGTTCGCAGTGGATGGTTGAGTGAAGCTCCCACGTTGGGGATTATTTGCCGTTATATTCTGCGAACAGGCCATGCTGGCGCATGATGTGAGGTTATAAGAAAGAAACCCAGGCTGGCTGCCATGCAATACCCATGTGCCACCGCAGATGGCACACCCTGGCCCCTCTGAACGCCTCCACATGTAGGCATAGTACACGGCAGCTACTTTATGGCTTGTTGACTGATCACGTTCCAGCATGTGAACGATTCGAGGAGTTGACCCGTAGACTTTCAAAGTATCAAGTGGAGACGGAAACTAATGGGTAGAGGGATTAAACTGCAATTTTGATCACAGTTTTTCGGAAATTAGTTGGCTCCCTCAAAGATTTAGAGCCGCGGAACAAAAAAGCATTGGGTTAAACTTTCGCGGATAAGGGTTGATCTGAAAGTGACCAGACTTGTGGGTTACAGCATGATCTGTCAGCTGCGAGTTGAGTGTTCACTTGCTGACCATACGATTAGCGTTGACGACCTACCCATCTGAATCGGTTTGTCTCAACCCAAGTTTGTAGTGCTACCCTACCCTTTGCAAGGCTGCGGAGGGTGTGCTCTATCATCAAATTGCAAAAGTTCTCGAGCACAGCTTTTTTTGTACCCTCGTCCAGCCGCAAAGCAATAGAAACTCAGGAGAAGATTCCAAGGTGGCTTCCCTGCAATCAAAATCTTCTGTCATTTATGCAATGATGAAGTGCACAGTCGCATGCAAAAGTAACGAAATCAAGCCATAGCTTGAGACCTTCTATTGGTCAATTGAAGCAAGTGTTCACGAGGTTCAAACTTCAAACACAGGTGTATGACTTTCTTAGGGTGAAAATGATCGGAGGAGTTGTTCTAAATGGAGCAACGAAAGGCCCCAGAATTAATTACACTGGTTCGATTTTCTACCATACACTGTGTGTACACAGATATTCTAATGTCTAAGTGTCTAAATCGCCTTCACTAAGTCTCTCAATTGTCTACAGGCTTCCGGTGCATACCCCTGAGTGATTCTGCAAAAATCATTTACATACCCCTGCCTGATGATTCTAATCAACTTCTCAATACATTCGATCGAAGATGACAACTGCAGAGGGAAACCAAAATGGTTACGGACACATGCTTGTGAGTCTAAAGCTTTTGGCCACAGAATGCTACTGCGGAGGAGGTAACTGTTCATCTGGAAACGGAAACAAGCTCCCTGAAAAGTGTCTCGGAGAGGCCACCTCGCGAGGAATCCACATCAACGATTCTTGCTCCTCGAAGATCTGATCGTAAGAAAACTCCTGCAGGCTGGAACTCAGCGACGGGGGGAAGCTGGAGCTCGACGTCGAAATCCCGCTCAAAGTGGACTGAGGGTCGTTCAAGTTGCTCAAAGGCTTGACCTCTTGTTGCTGATAGCTCGGATCGGACACAATTTGCAGTTGTCCGCCATGTTGTATGAAGTTCGGTTGCGAGTACTGGTACTGTGGAGGCACCGCGGGATGGTAAAACTCTGGTTCGTAGTTTTTCAAACTACTCCGTCCCTGGGAGGAATTGAAATCGAGAACAGGATTCAATTGAGGAATATTCGGCTGCCATGGCTGAGAAGGGAGAATTTGTGGCAACGAGGCAGAAGCTTGGGATGACCACATGCTCAAGGGTTGTAAATGTTTCGATTGTGATGAACTGTCCTGTTGCAGCAAGTTTCCTGCAGAAGAGTTGTACACTGTTTGCAACGATTGTTGCGAGTAAGAATCCAGCGGCTCGTAGGGTGTTTGGGTCATTAGGAGGGGGGCAACGGACTGCTGCATCATCGGGTCGTGGATTGTGCTGGAGGCCTTTGAGGAAGCGGAGGTCTGCGATTTCCACGAGAATTGAGAAGAGTACTGGCGGGTTTCAGCTGAGGAAGCCGCTTGGGGTGTCCACCGTTGCGAGGAGTGGCCTTGTGGTTGGTCTAATGAGTCGACGGAGGTCATCGATAGGGGCGGGGAAGGAGAGAAGGAGACACTTGTAGTGGTGGGTGTGGTTTGAGCGCACACAGAAGTGCGGACGGCCGTGGAGGAGCACGCTGTGTCGGGGACAGAGGTGGTTGGCATCTTTCCATCTGGGAAATTGAGCTTTGCTCGCAACCCTCTGAACTTGGTTGCAGAAATGTCATAAGCCATGGCTGCCTCCTCGGCGGTGTCAAATGTGCCCAACCACACGCGAGCTGCTTTTTTGGGGTCGCGAATCTCTGCAGCCCACTTTCCCCACGGCCGCTGCCGCACTCCACGATACCTTCGCTTCTTCACCGGCGGTGCCGCAGGCGCCTCGGATGCAACCGTTCCACCGATCTCACCTCCCTGCCCACTGTTGTCACCTGAGTAGCCTACTTGCACTTGTTCCAACCCACTTCGGCGTATTTGAGCATCTGCAAAAAGAATAAACCTCTGAGAAAATAAACAACAAAGACCGAGAAGTTGAGATTGAAAAGACGCGTCAACATTCTACAGTGAGAAGGCATGTCTCTAAAAAAAAATCACTTCCTCCTTAGGATCATCCTAAAGAACAATTAAAACACGTGGAGGTCTTGTGAACAGCGTTTGAAACTTCGCTCATGTCGATAAACATTCTAGAGTCAACAGAAAGCCATCCAAAAGGGCTTGTGTGAGGTGCCGGTAGAAAACCCAGGGTTTAACAGTTGACGAAAGAATACTGACAGTTTCAAGCACCACAGACAGAGAGGCGCAGGCTCGAAAGTGTACGATGTGTTTTCTACTCCTGAATGAGCTAGTAGGATTAATGCGCTCGCAACCCCTTCACTACCTTCTCAAGTCCTTCAATCTGTCGAGGTTTAAGCCGACGCTCACAGATTACGCAAATTGGACACAAATTCTGATTATCTCCAACATAACACAACTAAACCTGACGCCTGTAAGCAGTGGGAATGAATGCTTAGCACTGCAACTTTATGAACCAATTCCTTATTAGATTCTGAAAATTTCAGAATAGGAACAAGGTTTTAAGATTTTACCTTCACTCTGCGAGGGAGATAAGTGTATGCTAACATCTGAATGCTTTCCTGAATTGGAGCTGAATTCTGGAGTGTAGCTGGGGCTGCCGGTGTGACCCGCAGGTGATCTCTCTATGGCCTTCTTCACGACTTCGTCCAGCGGAGCACAAGTAACTTCTCTTGATTTTGACACCTCTACGGACGCGGTATCCAGTGGGTGGAGGATTTTGGCTCTCTGGGTGGAGTAGGCGGTGGAAGCCTCAGCGCCGACGCCAGTGGAGGAGTAGCTGAATTCATCGTAGGAACGAAATCGTTTCTGTCCTATTGCTGCGCCGAGGAATTCCTCATCGGATGAGAGGAATCTGCTCCAGGGGGACGTGAGTGGTTGAGGATTGTGGGAGTAGACCCCGAACAGGTCTGGATGTGCGCCAGTGAGGGTAGATTGTGGAGGAATGGGCGCCGTAGCGACATCCACTATTTGGCTTGTGTCGAGGTTGCATCTTCGCGCGGGGCTGTTACAAGGAGGTATATAATCCGGAGGGTCACGAGGACCTTCCAGTTTGTCTAATCCTGATGATCGACTCAATAAGCAAATCATGTCAAATCCAGACTATAGTCGTGGCGGGTGGCAGACGACGGAAACTGTAATTGACGAACTGTGACAAGCCTAAAATCGCCTCAAGCTCATCAATCTTGGAAAGCCAACTTCAAATTTTCTTCAGAACAAATGCAATCTGCTTCTCCTTCTGTCAATCTAGTGCCTCGCTTCTGCAGCGAGTCGTATCCAGTCAACAGCTTGTGCCCGCAAGGCTCAAAACCCCACTCCCTATTTGAACTCGCGCAGTGAACTCAAGTCAACACGCCGTCGAGGCGTCGAAAGCTACGTTTCAAGGATTTCACTTTCGAGATACGACAGCCTTCTGATTGGCAAAAACCCCCTGGTCAAGTCTAATTCACAAAAGCAACATGAAACCACGAGACACCTATCAACGACACAACGCTAAAAAGACATCAACATGAAACCTCGGAAAACAACGGCCGCAATCCCGCTCTACACTTTTTGTAAGTTTGAAACTTGAATTCAACCCACAACGCGTTCATTCCTGAGCTCCGCTCTCATCGTCCACTCTCCTCGCCCGCACACCTCAGATGTTCAACAACTGGGACCCAAAGACACCTCCCGCCTCAACTAGACAGTGAACCTTAAGCCAGGCTATATTGTTCAAACCCAGATACTATCTTTTTGCATGGGCAGCTCAATCAAATTGTAGCAGCACCTTTGTTCTTAAATTGCTTTTGCAATTCATACATTCCGGACAAAACAGATTCACAGACTGGTGAGTTAGTGAGTGAGCCAGCGAGCGAGCAAGCGAGTGAGTGAGTGAATGGTTGACGCTACCTGGATCACACTATAAGCTAAAGAGCCGATGTAGTTAGGGGAGTATTTATTCTTTCTTTGACCTACACCTAATACCGATTAGCCTTGAATCATCCAACAGTGAATAGAACCCACAAGGTCGAATTCACATGGTACAGTGAATTAATTTAAAAAAAAACATAAACATAAACATCAATACATACTGTGGCGTGCCTTGGAGAATGTGCATGGCATTTGCTGTTCTTGCTTTTAGAAGTTGCGGGAGGGGCTATACTATTATCGATGAGGTGGGTGGGTGTCGGCATTCAGAAGTGTGGTTTGCCATCACCTTTGACCCTCCTTTCAAATTTATCAGACAGTCTGAATTAACATAATTGGCATATTCATTGTTCTTTTTTTAAAAATTATCATTGTCTTTGTGTTGTTATTGGATTCGAAAGATACTTGGATCTGGAGAAAACTTGTTTTGTGATCCTTGGGAATTGTGATGCATATCGAAGGGTTTTTATTTTTTTCATTTTTTAATTGATTTAATTAAATTTAAGACCTTGAGTTGCTTGTGGGAGTACCTGTCTTAAGCGATGCAAACATATGGAATTAAATGTTTGGTTTCTATTTTATTTTTTTTTATTATTGTTGATTCATTTAGATGAAATATGTGTGTATATATTCATAGTTTTGATTGGTAATTTAGTTCTTGCTTTTTACTTCAAACGTGTCCCACAAGTTTCCAAACTAAGTTGAATATGAATAAAAATAATACAGTAATAAAATAAAATAAAATAAAATGAGCAACAAAAGCAACAATAAAATCCTCACAAAACATCTCCTGCTGAGTTAATAGAAAGATTTATACATTTTTACAATAAAAATTGATACATGCAAATAATCATATATCCACCTAAAAACTTTTCAAATACAAAATTTCAAAACACATTGTTATTTTATATCCCTTAATTATAAACTACTCTATGAGAATATTTTTAAAATCAATGTTGGTCATCTCCAAAAAATATTGGTAGCTTTTAGATAATACAGACAACCCTCACCAACCACAGAAAATATTATCTAGAAAAAACTATAATGTGAATGAAAAACCCAAAACAAAACAAAATTTTAGTATGAATTACTTTGCTAATGGGATGGCAAACAGAATTCTAGGCTGAAGAGACAGTAATAGAATAAGATAAATACTGTTAAAAAATTGTTAGTTTTCCCAGCTGGGTGTGTAGAGTTGGAGGTAGAGTTTGAATCGCAGGCTCTACCATTTTCAGGTCTTACCTAGTCTCAGACCTTGGTTCCCATTATGTTGCCAGAAATATTGGATTTGCACAGTTTGAAAGGGGACATATCTCTCGATTACTTGCATGTTCAAAACCCCCCATTCAAAATAGAGTTCCTGGTAAGAGTGTGTATGTCTTTGCAATGCTTCCCGACACTACAATTGCCCTCTTTAGCTCCACAGAGAGAGTCAACTGGAATCTTGCTCACTAATGCATCATCCTGGTTTTAGAGCCTTTTCCATTATTATGTGCCAGCGGAATTCTTCTTTTTACTGCAGGAGTGCATCTTTTTGGTAAGAATGAGAGTAATTAACTTCTTAGCCAGTAGTAATGCAAATTTTGAATTGTATGCAGAAAACCTTCAAGTTTGTAGATGTGCTATATGTCTAGTTGATTACCTAAACAATTAAATTAGAGACGACCTAGCATTATGAGACCAAATCTTACATTTTTTATTTATTTATTTAAGTGCACATGTTCTACTTGAGTAATGGTGTTCAGCCAATTCATTCTCATGCTGTGAAGGGTTTTATCCTAATAACCGCGAGCAAAACAACCGGAGCTGTTACATATCAAAACAGGAGAGTGAGGCTTCTGAAAACATCGACAACCAGTAGAAAAGCAAAGCAAAAGATTGAAAGTAAAAGCGTAGTAAATAAAAAACAACACCAGCAGCTATTTGACACTGAAAACTATGGGTTTTTCCGGCAACTTCCACCACGCACGCAGGGACTGATGAAAACGTGGACGCCTACTAAGTATCCACTTGTGCCACTCACAGAACATGGTGGGCTCCAAAGATGAGTGCAACCAACTTGCCAAAATGGGTTTCTCTAGAAACATAGGTCTGCAACTAACTAGCTTTATACCCACATCTAGTTATATCTAAATATACACATGGGCATGTAAGAATCAAGATTTATACTGAGCATCCCTGTCGTATCGAGTAATGACATACCCCAACAAAACAACCACGGCTGGGTAACGTTCATTAACTCTGTAAAACCTAATCCACAAAGTGACAACTAAAAATAAAATTCTCAATCTTCCTCATTTTTTTCTGTGTTTTTCTTTTTCCAAAAAAGGGGTATCGACTCATACTCAGATTTTGTTGTCTCACTGTAGGAATTAGCTCAGGCAACCGAATAGGGCAGCCAATTCATTAATCATAACAGTTTAAGTAGTGTTGGGATAAATGCAGAATTGTTACTGCTAATTACACCCAACTCGACCCCGGCATCAAAGAGAATGAATCTGAAGGAATTGGTGACGCGGCGCTATGCTGAGTGCTTTCAAGCAGCACGTGGGTTGTAAAACAGGTGGAATGAGGTCAACGTTAGAAACCACACCGTGCTCAAGTCTCAGCCCCGTAATAAATAACTTGCATAGTAAATACGTTGTCATAGCGATCCGTCCACATTGTTTACATGGGCGCCGGTCGGTGCGTTACTACGGCATTTTTTGGTGAGCTACATTCTAGCTCCACTACACTCTCCATAGCTACTGGCCTCCCTTTAGTAATTTGTGCACCACACTGCAACATGATTTGGCCACGTTTAGGAAACGCCACCTCTCGCGCATGCATCTTCTTCTGAATTGAACATTCGGAAGCATATGCAATTTGCATTTATTGTAACCCATAGGTGCGACGTTTTTGCTGTTCACCCTTGCTGACTCCTCATTCACAGTAGTATAAATCTTAATTCTTACATGCCCATGTGTATATTACTTTTATTTGGAGTAGTAGATGTGAGTATATGTGATTTTATTATATATATATATATATATATATATTCATGCAAGTTTGGGATTTTATACCTGGATTCAAGCTGCCTAATTTGGTGTAACCGCTTTTGATTCTATGGTCATCTTGGATGAAATTAGTTCCATCAAAGTATTCTTTTATATTTAAATTTTCCAATCATTAATTAGGAAATTATATACGTTCATTATAGAATATAACCACATTTCTATTTTTAAAATCTTGGAATTATATTATTTTATGTTATTAAAAAATAAAAGCTCCTATAACCAAAATCAATAGTCCTTTTATATTATGTGTTTGGAATATGTCTTCTCCAAATATCATTTGTCAAAGAATAAGTACAAATAATGAGCCTTAGTAAGACTATTATTTATTAAGTTGATATAATATATTTGTTTCCTATTATCATATTCTTTATACTATTAGGTATTTTTAAAAATAGTTGATATTTTTTTCTATTGTTTCTATAATGCATTAAACATAATAGTTATTAACTTCTTGACCTAATTTGTATCTCTAAGGATGAATTATTGTTACTTTGTGCTAGTCAAGTTAGATAAGAGTAGCTATTTGTTAGCTCCTATCATGTTCCATAAAGTCCCTTCATTTATTTATAATCAAATAGTGTGTGCCTTGATCTACTAAGTGAGTTGAAGTAGACTTGGAGTGGATAATTAAAAGCAACTATTAATTTTTTATTGATATAGATAAGATTTCTTTAAATAATAGAATTAAGATTAATAATGGCTTAATAATATATATGAAAAATCCATATTACATATTTTTGATAAATAATCAAATAATAACAATGAACTACTAGATATTAAAAAATAATATTGAAATCTTAGAAATTTTTAATATTTATTTAATTTAATAAATAATAATAATAATAATATAGTTATATTTATATATTTATGTTTAAAAACTTTAATCTTACAAAGTTAGTAACCAATAGTATATTGGTTTAAAACTTGCTATAGTAGAATTCAAGATAGTCTATAACGTCAAAGTGGTTTTATTCATATAGATGGCAATTGTATACTAAATTAATAGTATTTTTTAATTTAAAATTTACAATTTTAGAATCAATAAAAACATGCAACTAAACAAAAAGTAATAATAAAGTAATAATTCTTTTATTTAGATATAATAGAATAATATATATATATATATATATATATATATACATGTTCATTATTGATAATTTAAGAGAAATTTATAAAGTTTTACTTAATCAATATATTATTAATTAATAAACCTTTTAAAGATTAAATTTAAAATTCCTTTGTTTATTGTTAGTTTTTATAAAAATAAATATTTAAATCAACGTAATCAAAATAAGCTATAAAATTAAGTATTATCAAAGAAGAAATTCTAAATAACTTTTGTAAGAAAAATATTCTCTAAACTTCTCAAATTAGTAGACTATAGCATTAAAAATGAAAAGATTATTAATATCATCTTATTTATAGAGATTTAAAATAATATTTATTATTTATTATTAATTTAATATAAAAATTTAAAAAATATTGAATATTTTGAATATTCATTGATTTTTTATGTTTAAATAATTGCACTAATTTATAAAAGAAATATAAGGCCTATATTTAAGATAAAAATATTGACCGTTTAAACATAGTTCATATAGACTTAATATCTAATAGGTTGTATAAAAGAAGAGAAATTCAAATAATATGCATTAAAATAAAATAATAATAATAATAATAATAATGAAATTACTAAAAATTGAAAAAAAATTTAAGAAAAAAAATTAATAAAAATAATTAAAATATAATTATATTGGTTGTTGAATTTAATTAAAAATTAATGATTAAAGAGCCTTATAAAGCATTGAAGCTATCAAATTATTTTTATGTATTTGAAACAATCATATGTTAAGTTAGAAGAACAAGAATAATAGTCATTTTAGTATAAAAGCATCAATATATCATAAAAAAGATAACGACCTAAATGTTTTTTAATATTTTTATTTAAAAT